AGGATGCGCTTTTGCGATGAGATTAGGACCGCCCTTCAGTGTCTATCAAGGTTGTTTGAACGGGAGAGTATTGTGTGTTCGAGGATGCAATAGCCTTTCATTCCGACCGACTGGTCTGGGCGGCCACCAAAGGCACCAACCCGAGGTCAGTTGTAGTATGCTATGTACGTTGTGCCAGTGCGTATGTCGGAAGTGCTAAACATGCCTACTCTCACGCTCACACTTGACTTGTTGTTCTTTTGTACGGTTTTCAAACTGGTGGCTCCCAATATCTGCAACAAACTTTGACAAAAGCATTGATTGGTTAGTCCTGTGGCAGAGCCCAATAAAGCACACAAAGGATTCAGTTAAGCACGAGTGATCAAATGGCACGCCGATGCAGTACTTGCTTGGTGGGAAAGAAACTACCTTATATGTCCCAGCAGGTTGAGTTTGGTGTCACCTTAGACCCCAACATCAAATCAAGCGCGAACTGGAAACGAGCGGCCAGCAACGGCTTCTGAACCCTACGGAGGATCCGCAGATTATTAAGGATGCTGACAGCTGTAGTGATTATAACTCTTTTAGGCTCCTTATTAGACTGTACCTGGAGTCTTGCGTCCAAGCTTGTCTTCTTCGCCTGCTTCCTAATAGGATGGTGGTTGAGCGGTCTTGTGGGGAGGTCCTAAAATGTTTTGAGGTCTGCGGCACCTGGCCTTTACTGTCAGATTGCTCAAACCAAAGTTGTCCTCGACACTCTATCACCGGCCTCGTGGCACCATAGTTCTCACGTATCGCACACTAACGGAACAAGTTGGCTCAGGCATATCCTGGCTTTTTCAGCTTGCTCAGTTACCTACTCTTCGTGGGCATCCGTTGAAGCGGCCCAATTACCGATCTTATCTGGTTCTGGTTGAGACTCCTTCGTCATTTAGGGTGAAAGCTTTCTGGAAAGCGCTAACCGCGGACTTCGAATTTTCACCGTGGCGACAGAGTTTGAACGTCGCCCAGCCGACCTTAACAGGCATGTCTCAATCTACACTTTCACATATTAATTTTTCTTTTGATCACTCTTCAATTCCGTTCATGCTTATTTAGTCGTACTAACTCTCACTTCAGCGTTTGTTTTACTCTCGCGCTTTATACCTATACTATAATTTTACACTTCTTTTGTTATTGAAAGTAGCTGGCGCAGCGGGGTCTGAAAGAGCATTGCGTATGGATATTGATTGACCACGATATGCGCTGATTTGGCTCATACAATTGACCAGTCGTACACCGAATTCGAACCTTGATTAAGGACACATTCATGATGAAACGACGACGGGAATCTCCGTTTTTCATACCAGGTTTTCCAGGCGTTACCCGCCTGGTTTTCCAGGCGTTACTGTCAGGAAGCTGATTAGACTGGGGAGCGTCCCAGTTAACGTACCAAACCCGCGACCGCGGCTACTTCGTGTGGTACACTCTACCCCGGAGGAACGCAATGCTCTCATGCGGTTTGCGTTTAAGCTGAAAGGTACAAACATTAGCGTTCAGCCGGACCTTCCGCTAGCCGATAGGCTGAAGCTAAGGGAGGCCATCAAGGACCTCAAAAGCAGGCGAGCGGCCGGTGAACAAGGTCTCCGGTTAGTGGGTTTTCGGGTGGTCAGCCGGCGGTCCTATACCGCCCTACCAGTGCCAGTACTGGTAGCGCACGACCCAGGTCTGGATCTAACGAAAAACTTCAGATAGTGCTAAGTAATGTGCGCAGCCTAAGGAATAAGGTGTACGAGTTAGGTCTGCTTGTAGATGGGTCTCATCCCGATATACTCGCATTCACTGAAACGTGGCTGTCTCAGGACATCACGGATGGTGAAGTACATCTATCGGGCTACGCACTATTTAGATGCGATCGCTCTGCTGGCCGACAGGGAGGGGGCGTCGCTCTTTATGTGAGCTGTAAACTTGACGTTTGGAAGACTTGCTTATTTCAGTCAGCAGACAAAACTGTTGAAGCTCTGTCGGCTGTTATTAGCACATCCTCGGCTCAGGTTACAGTTGTAATTGTGTATAGAAGCCCTGGGAGCGTATCCAAAGAGGTACTTGACTTCATTCGCTCCCAGTCCGCAAATAAGTGTTTGGTGATGGGCGACTTCAACCTCCCAGAGATTTGTTGGGCAGATCTTTCTTGCGACTCAGCGTCAGGCACATTCGGCGCTGATCTGCTTGAACTTACGCTCCAAGTATCTTTGCACCAGTTCATTGACCTCCCCACTAGGTACATGGACGCCCAAGTACCGTCTATCTTAGACCTTGTATTCGCTAAGTCACTCGATTTTGTTGGTGACATTACTTACGGACCTCCACTGGGTTCCAGTGATCATGTTTGTTTGCTCTTCAATTGTACTCTGTCTAGACGCTACCAGAGTACTGTTGAGTCTCGCCCGAACATATGGCAAGCAGACTATCAATCAATGAGAGCCAAGGCTTCTGGTTTCCATTGTGAGATCTCAGACGACGATACTGTCCAGGTTGCCTGGGATAAATTTAAGTCCTACCTCACAGAGGTCTCTGCTCCCTTCATACCAGTCACAAGGAGAAAGGAGGCCCGAGCACAGCCGCCCTGGATAGATCCCACTGGCAGGCATCTGCTCACAAAGAGATCTAGATGTTGGCGGACTTACCGAGACGCTCCGTCTACCGATACTTATGACAAGTACCGTAAAGCTAGAAATAGGTGTAAGCAACACCTAAGGGATGCTCGGCTCACTTTTGAAAAAGGGTTAGCGGACGAAGCTTCAGAGAATCCAAAAAGATTCTTCGCTTATGTCAAAAGACGCTGCGGTTCGAAAATGTCAATTCCAGTATTGATGCGTGATGACGGTACTCATGCGCATACGGATTATGACAAGGCCTGCGTACTCAGTGGGCAATATGCGGCAGCGTTTGTAAGGGAAACCTCTTTGACAGGCGTTGAGCTGGTTTGCAGGACTCCAGAGGGTTCAGAACTATCTGAATTTATTGTAGCGGAGACTGCAGTTCGTAGGCTGTTACAAGGGCTGAACCCTTCTAGGGCCTCTGGGCCTGATTTAATTCACCCGAAACTGTTGCATGAGTTGGCTGCGGAACTAAGTGGACCGCTCGCTATTGTGTTTCAGAAATCGCTTGACAGTTGTGCATTGCCTTCCGAATGGAAGGAAGCTGTCATCTGTCCCATCTTCAAACATGGGGACAGGGGTCTGCCTGCAAATTACAGGCCAGTTAGTCTGACGAGTGTAGTAATCAAACTCCTCGAGAAACTGGTGAGAGATTCATTAGAGAGTCATCTGAGTAGATTTAACCTACTTAGCAATGTACAACACGGATTCCGGAAGGGATTTTCGTGTCTGACGAATCTGTTGGTGGCTCGCGAAAATTGGGCGGATGCAGTGGATAACGGCCACGCGCTGGACGTGCTTTTCGTCGACTTTTCGAAGGCATTTGACAAGGTACCCCATTTGAGGCTCGCGCAAAAGCTGTCCTCCTACGGGGTATCTGGCCGCGCCCTTCATTGGGTGACTGCCTTCTTGGAGGGTAGAGAACAATGTGTACGGGTAGGCCGGGGTCTATCATTTAGGCAGTCTGTCCTCAGCAGCGTGCCGCAGGGCTCGGTCCTTGGACCGCTGTTGTTCTCTATCTATGTGAATGACCTACCCACGGAGCTTGAGGTATCATCGCTGCTATTTGCTGATGACCTGAAGTTGTGGAACATTGTTGATGTTCCTGGGGGTTCCGAAGCTATTCAGCGAGCATTGGATAAGCTTTGGGACTGGTCTACTTTATGGTTACTGCCCATAAATCAGGCAAAGTGCTCCGTTCTTCGAATTGGAGGAGGTTGTCCTCCTGCGAAGTACTTGGTCGGTGGGGTCGAACTCCCCCGTGTATCTAGCCAGGTTGACCTAGGCGTCGGACACTCTTCGGCGTTACACTCCGGCGACAACTGGAAGAAGGCCGCAAGCAGAGGTTTACGCATGTTGTGGTTAATCCGACGTTCTTTCGGAGTCTTGACGGGCGGCATCTTTACGAGGCTGTTCTCGGCTTTCGTTCGCCCTCATCTGGAATACTGCGTCCAGGCTTGTCCGCCCTGCCTCGTCCGGGACAAAATGGAGCTAGAGAGGGTTTTACGAGTGGGTACTAGGTTAGTCGAGGGATTACGGGGACGGACGTACCCCGAGCGTCTACTTAGTTTCGGAATGCATTCAATGCACTACCGAAGGCTTAGAGTTGACCTAATCCGAACCTACCGTATCTTGACTGGGAAGGTTGGTCCAGATTTGTCTTGGCTATTCAGTCCCGCTAGATTGTCTGTTCTACGCGGTCATTCGTTGAAGCTGGACAAACCGCGGTCCGATCGGATTAGGGCGGAAATCCGGCTGTCACGCCGAGTTATCGACCGCTGGAACATGCTTCCGGAAAGTGTTATCAGGGAATCTACGGTTAAGGGGTTTGAGCGGCAACTTCAAGCTCTTGGGTGGCAACACGAAACCTTTCCATTTTCCTGAGTAACTCACATCTTCGTACTTCGATTTTCTTTTCTCTACTTTTCTTCACGTATTGGTATTATTTTCTTATTTAAGTGCACTTCCCTATTCTGTACCTTCGATTTCTCTTCCTATCCTTTGCTTACTTCACGTGACTGCCACAGCAGGGACTGCTAGGGCAGGAAACGTGGGCATTAACTGGTTGGCCAGGGTGCGATACGGGTGTTTCCGTTATAGATCCATCAATAACTGAGCACTTCATCAATTCCTGGCTCAACGATCCACTCAAGATGGAACACTCACGGGATTTTCCTATCGTTCCAGTCCCCATCTGAACTGAACTGAACTGAACTTCCAAGTTCAATTGGTGGCAAAAAGCACGATAGAAAAACAGAAAAAGCATATAGAAAGCCAAGGAAACTATATACTAAAAGGTGTCCAAGCTAGTATCTTTGCAGAAACTTATAAAAAGGTTTGTTGTTTGTTTTATCCCTGAGTTGATTTCAATCGACCGAACAGAGGTTTGTTTATGCGCTTGTTATGACGAGTGTTACCTGTTAACAATGTCGGTCCCGTCGTTTTTTGAGGGCATCCACCAGGCCCCTCCCATCGAAGTTTTTTCACTTTCCGAAGCATGTAGAGAAGATGTTAGTCCTGATAAGATAAATCTCACGGTCGGTGGTATGTTCTGCTAAACCTTTTCAATATTTGTGAAGCCTACCGCACGAATGAAGGAGAGCCTTGGGTACTGCCATGTGTACGGGCTGTGGAAACATCGTTAGCCGCAGATCATTCATTAAACAAGGAGTACCTACCGATTACTGGTCTTGAGGCAATGTGTGCAAACGTCCTCAAATTGCTGCTAGGCGAGTGCTGTCCATTGATTGCAGAAAAGAAGGTTGGTTCCTTACCCTCTGTGTCACTTTCCAGGCTGATAATTGCCAAAGCCTTGGTGGCACTGGTGCTGTATTTCTTGGATTGCAGTTTTTGCGCAGGTTGTGTAATCGGGCAGTCGTTTTCGTTTCTCGACCAACTTGGCGTGAGCTACCTTCATCATTGCTTATATCTGTTTAGCAAATCACATTGGTATCTCCAAATTTACTGGGCTGGAAGTGAGAGAATACCGGTATTGGGATTCCGCAACACGATCGGTCAACTTTGAAGGGATGGTAGAAGACTTGAGGGAAGGTCCCGATGGGGCTGTAATCATTTTACACGCTTGTGCTCATAATCCCACTGGCATGGATTTGTCTCGGAAGCAGTGGATGGACTTGTTGATTGTAATTAAGGTAATGTCCTTTTGAAACATTACATGTATCATTTCCTATATCAGCATTTTCTATGTATTTTGTTTTTTGGTTATATTTTTGTTACTTTCAAGCGCACAATCCTATAGTTATTGAACAGCGATATCACTGCCTGGCATTCAGCTCCTTATAGTTGTCTCACTAAAGTGTTTTCAAATTATGCTATTCGTGAAGTACGTGAAGGCAGCCGTTTACACATTTACAAGGCAATAGTCTTCATTGAGTTTCATTGAAGCTCAATGCATCACAAACCTATTTTTTGCCTGTAATTGGCTGGTCTCTATCTTTAGTTGCCTTACAATAATAGTTCTCGTCATTTTCATGACATAACAGATCTTTTATACTTGTAAACCTCACATATTATGGCTGCTCATTCCATCGTCATCTTTATACACGTTAATTAGAGGTGGAAAACACCTTAGCTGTTGTGTCGCAATACATGGGGAAAATATTGAAGAATTGTCACGCAAGCTGAGTCACTAGTAACAGATGGGTATCGTTCCCGATATCTACCAGCCGGCTATTGTGCCCGCGAGCTAGTGGTGGTGCAATATATTTGTCCTTTTCTGTAGGCTCAAAAATTGAGACAAACTTGATTGTTCGCATCTGAAACAGATGAAAATTACTGCTACATCGTGAATTCATGGTCCAAGTTTTCCCACTGACATCTATTGAAACGTCTGTACGCCATGTAGATGATTTTGCACGGCTTTCTTGAAGCCTTATTTTACTGCCAATGGCTTTGTTGCTAATTGCATTATTAAGTTACCATCGACAGCGTTTACCCTAGGAGCCTTATGCTTTGTACTGTTGTAGGCTGCGTTTCTCCAAAAAAGGGCTTGTGGAGTCCATGCTCCGTCCACCTTACAGTTTGAACCTCCGTCCGACTCCATGCATACCTATTGTGACTTGATTCGCCTTAGAGGTGCGCAGCACGACGTTCTTTAGTTTGGGTTAGTTAAAACGTTTTTGCTTAAGACCAGTTCGTGGTCAAATCATGGGTTACGCATTTTATCTCGCGTTATAGCCTGCTTGTCTGAGATGACCGTTTCCTTCAACGTTTATCCAGTGACTAGAAGTCGTGACACCGTCCATCAATAATTCAACTTTGTTCAGGCACTCTTCTAGCGGGAAACCGAAAATCTTATCTGGTTCATCCGAATGCAGTCACACAATCTTTATTATTCACTCGCTGGCAGTTAGTTATTGCATATTATTTATTATTACAAACATCCTGTTGATCTCCATGTTATCAGGCAGTAATTCAACTAATTGGGTACTTTAAATACAGTTTCTTTGGGACCACAATCAGTTAAACATCCACGGTCGGGTAGCTGCCATATGATCGGGACATTGGCTAAAAAGCTGTCACAATATGGTCTTTCTAGACCATTTCATACTACCAGAATTTTATATTGGCTCATATTGGCCATGACCCATGTATTTTACTTTACTGTCATGATAGCGAGAAATATGTTGAACATCTATGTAGCTATATCTCAATGTAGGACATGTCCCACTGACACAGTGTTACCTGTAGTAGTGAGCTAGCCCAGGTGAAAAAAAGTAAAATATTTACAAGCATAGAAAAAATCTCCATGTACTTACGATATATTCTTGGATGAACCACATGGAGTCCTTCACCAGCTCCGCCGCCTATTACGGATGGGCATCGTTTCGGAAGCTGCAGTTGGTGGGTTAACGGGCTCCATGGGTTATAATCATTGAACGATTCCTTCGTCAGTTTCCTGTGAAGGCTTCGTCGAATCTGGCATCCGCAAAGTGCGCGTCCAGGAATCGTTTGAATTCCGACACCGAGTTCGCTTCTACTATCCGCGAGGGCAAACGGTTCCACATGTTCACCACTCGCCGCTCAAGACACAAGGGATGAGCTACTCACTTGAGGTCAGGGACTACCAGTTTGTACTGGTGACCTCGTGTGCTACTTGACGCACGGACATGGAGCAGTGGCCTCAGCATCGGATAAGCACCCAGATGCAATACCCGATGGGTCATGATGAGGTCCACTCGCACGCGGCGGTAGGCTAGAGTATACAGACCCAATTGTCTGCATCTTTCTTCATACGGCACACCCTGAAGACCGGGAATGAGCCGTATGGCTATGTGTTGTACTCTTTCGAGCTTGTGTATCTCGCCTTTAGTCAACGGACAGTAGGCGGGTGAGCCGTATTCTAGCACCGGTCGTACAATGGATGTGAAGAGACGAGTGGCAATCTCTTTCGACCAGGTGCAGAAGCTACGTTTCAGCGCCCACAGCGAACGCAATGCTGTGCGATACATATTGTCCGTGTTGTCCAGTGACTTCATGTCGTAAGGTTGTATAACGCCAAGGTCTCTGACGCAATGCGTCGGGTGTAGAACTTGGCCGTCGAGAGTGTACGATCGGCCCGCTCCACCTTTACCGAGGCACAGAAGTAGCGATTTTGCCGAGTTGATAGGCAAATTTACTTCGGCGGACCACATGGAGAGGCGGTCGAGGTCCTGCTGAAGTATGTCAAAGTCGTCCGACGTATGGATCACCCTCCATAGCTTCAGGTCATCCGCGAACAAGGCACACGGCGACCGAAGGAGATTGGGCACGTCGTTGATGTGAATCAGGAAGAGAATGGGGCCAAGCACCGTCCCCTGAGGAACGCCGCTCGTCGACGGGTACCAGTCGGTCAGGTGGCTGTCGACTTGCACCCTCCACTTCCGTCCAACTAAGAAGTCACGGATCCATTGGTGCAGCGAGCCTCCGACTCCGCACTCCCTCAGTTTCTGAAGGAGGATCTCGTGATTCACTCTGTCGAAGGCCTTACTGAAATCGACGTATACCACGTCGACTGACTTACGTTGGTTTACTGCTTGCAACCATTCATGTCATGTTAGCAGCAGGTTAGTGATGCACGAGCGGCCTCTCACGAAACCATGCTGTGCAGGCGTCAGGAGAGAGTTGGTCTCCAGTAGCTGGAGCAGTCTCTTCTTCACAATCTTCTCCAGAACTTTCGACAATACTGCGGTCAAACAAATAGGGCGGTAATTCTCCACTTTGCGTGTGTCACCGCCTTTTGGAATCGGTTTGACAACGGCGCATTTCCAGTCACAAGGCACGCAGCCTATGGACAGGGATCGGTTGAACAGGTCGGTTACAGCAGGTGAGATCACAGCTGACAAGGACTTGAGTATCAGCGGATGGAGACCATCCGGTCCAGCTAGCTTCGTGCTGTCTAGGCAGCTGACTAGCCCATGTACCTCCGCGACGTCGCAGATCAAGTCGGTTAGCTCAGTCGGTGCGGCGACGGCAGAGCTTGGCGCGCAGGTTTGGTTAGTTGCGAATACAGAAGCGAAGTGCTCCGCCAATGCGGACGCACGCTCGGTGCTTGAACTCAGTGGTTGTCCGTCCGAACCCACTAGCACCGGCACATCACCTGCAGACTTCAGGCGTCGCTTCACGTACGCAAATATGCGCTTCGGGGCAGTTTTAGCTGAGCAAGCAGGCTGCTCCTCAAACTGACGGCGTTTTCGCGTCTTTGTGCTGTTGCACAAGTTTCGTTGTCGCTTGTATGCCTCATAGTCATCGGCAGAGCCAGACAGGAGGAACGCATTTCATAGTCGACGCCGTTGTCGAGACAGTCGGTTATACTCTTTGTCAAACCAATGGGGTTTCATTGGTCCAACTTTCCGAGTCTTGAGGGGTACAAATTGCGCACACAATGAGTGCACTGCCCCTTTAATGTTTGCCAAACAAGTTTCAACGGATGAATCCTGTGGCATAGACCAATAAAGCTGATTGGCAGCTAGAATGAGGCCATCGAAGTCAGCTTTCCAATAGTTGTATGTTGGCGCCACTGTCTACTACTGTACTATTGTCATCAGCTCTAAATTTTTGGTTTATTTACATCAACCCGAACCTCCACCACGTTCGCACTAAATCGAGCTTATTCTGAAAGCAAAACCGGCGTCACTTGTACGCCGGCACGCAATACCAATGCTTCGCTGCCGCGCAACCATCGGTAAAACATGGGCTACGGATACTGCGACAGTCGCCCGGTCACTACGTAGGCTCGAACCTGCACCCTCAGATTACATGTCAAGTTTGTGATCCTTAAGGCTACAAACTTATTCTGTACAGTCCGCTCAGTACATTTAATTAACCTCAACAAGTTTGATCATTGGCGAACACGACCATTATACTCGATAGACTTGTTTCTTAGCCCGCGGTATATTATATTTTCTGGACCCCATCATTTCTTTCCTTTTCTTCAAACTGTCAATGCTATACGTCCCTTAGTATTTATCATTACGTCTTTTTTGTTGCTCTACATCAGTGCTTCTCAACCTTTTTGTGATTGTTACCCCCAAAGCTGGTTCACCATAAACAACTATCTCTCAAAACATTTAGTTTATGAACTATTTAACTATTGCATTTTTCGCACTTAATTACGGAAAATGAATATTTTACTTCTGATCATCCGAATGAAAACGCTTATTTTTTAGTAATTTAACTAGGCAAGTGGTGTTGTATGTCAATTAGATGGTTGATATTGCTTAGTTCTAACGCGTTCTGTTATATTTGATGCGGCTTCTGTTCATGCACATCGTAACTCGTGCTTCAAGTTCATTCGGTTCCTTGTGATTTTTGATCAAACCTGAACAGATATCAATGGCTTCTCATTTGTTTCAACCGCTCGTACCATGTCCTTTCTAGATGACAGCTTTCCACCACAACTGTGCATCGATAAGTTCAGGACACATCACCTGTTTTGTGCTTTCTACCTTGTAACCATTCGCTCGCTCCTTTAACTGGTTGGCTGACCTATGCCCTCATCTTAGCCTCCATACAACTTTGTACTTCGATTGGGCGAACGACTGCCTAATTTAAAAGAACACTGATCGACGATTGAGCCGATAGCTGCGCTGCGTTGCAAGCCTTTATTCATATTTTAGGTAGTAACATTTATTACCGAAGATGGTTTGATTCA